CAAAAGTTGCTAAATAAAGTCACAAATAAATACCATTATTATAATTATATATGAATAATCAAAATTCCAATTTTTTTGTATATGAGTAATAATTAAATAGTATTGAAGATCATAAGTCTTTAATTATGAATAACATTTACATCTAAATATAATCACTAATATATACTCCCGTCGTTCACTTTTGCTTGTCCATAATGGACTTTGCATGTCTCTTAAGAAAGATTCCATAGTTGAAGTGCATATTGTACCATAGTACCCATAATATGTGTAACACCCCGAAAACTTTTGAAGTACTTAAACGCTATTAAGAAAGTTGATGCGCACTAATTATATTATTTTGTGTGCAGACGAGGACTATTAATATGATGGATATCAATTGGATATGATAATAAGTGTACGAATCATATTATAAGTAGTGTGGGGTCTAAGGTGAGCCCTTAAGTCTAAGTCAAGTTGAAAATTTCATAATAGACTAAAGTTTCAAGTGGGTACGCACAAGACCAAACTTTGGACGAGCATATCTACATACATATAAGGAGTTATGTGATGGATGATCCTTCGAGTCTAGTTTCTAACGCTTCAAACCGTTCGTCATTTGGACACTCTTACAAGAAGTTATGACCAAATTTTGCAACCGCAGAAGTGGTTATGCCACCGCAAAATGGTCGCAGACCTGTCCAGTGAAGCCCATTTCTGGGCATCAGTTTTGCGGTGCATTGTGCGACCCGCATACTAATTGTGCAGTCCATTATGCGACCGTATACCTAAGTTCGGGGGGTTAATTTTTCTATTTTCATAATCCGACCCCATTTTAATAAATAGTCTTTGGGGCTTATTTTGGGGTATTTTTCTAAGGGTTTTAGAGAGAGGTAAGAGCATTTTAGAGAGAGAAGTAGGGAACCTAACATTCTAATCATCCAATCTTGCACCAATCTTCAAGAATCAAGGAAACCAATCACAAGATCTTCATCTAAGAGATAAGATTCAAACCCCTAGTCTTCAATTTTGAGTTTGGGGTAAAAGATGAGTGATTGAGAGTATGATTCTTGGGTGTAAGAGTATTATGCATATATGCTTGTACCAATAAGGTTTGTAGAAAGATTGTTGAGTTCAAATAAGTAAGGATTGGATTGTAGAGTGAAGGAAATCTTGTAGAAGAACCTTGTAACCAAATTTGTACACCTAGTGTTTGATAAAATGCTCTAATGAGATGAAACCATAAATATCTTCCTAATTATGTTTTACTTTTATTATATTTCTAAATAGATTGAAGTTGTTAGGATTTACGAAACCTCGTAGTAATGTAAGGAAGGCTCAAGAAAGATTAGAGCCGTCCGGAGGTCAATTCACTTGAGAAAGCTATTTTGGAATATTGGCCTAACTTCAAAAAGGTAAGTATCTTGTCTAACCTTGAGTGGAAAAATTACCCCTTAGGCATTGAGTCTTCTGTGGAAATTATATAATTGAAAATCATGTACGCGAGGTGACGAGTACGTACTTGGTTTAGATGTGCAAATTATATTGGTTGAAATTCGTAGACGCCCGTATGTATTAAATTAGAAAATCGTTGGAACTTAGTAAATCCTTGATTTGTCATGCCTCATTCTTTGTTTGTCGAGTTTTTATTTTATATGATAATTTGGTGTGATTACCACTTGGATTTTTATGTGAATTCTGTGTGTTTGTTAATTTGATATTTCTTGGAAATAATCACATTATGAATTTTTTTATTTGCAAATAATTAATTAAATAAGTTTAAATTAAGGTGTTTATATAATTATCTAAAATTTGGATTAAAGAAGGCATTGTCCTATGATGAGTTATTTTCCCATCCTTGTAGTTATTTTTGAGATTTTATATACATTGTGTTGAGCCGTAGACTATCTGTTGTGAAATTAATTGACTTTATTGTACCTTTGGAATGGTTGTGGCCTGCGAAAAATTTGTAAATACGAGTTGATGATATTGTGTTGTTGTGATAATATTATGTGTGAATTATTGTGTGATATGGGTTACTGTTATGCGGCGTATAAGGGTGGCATTCCATTGTTGACATTATGTGGGCATAAGGGTAGCATTTTACTGTTGTTATGTGTGTTGGGATATTGTCTGGGCGGATTAATAAGGGAGGCTATTATAGGAGCGATAAGGGTGGCTATTGATATTGTCAGGGCGGAGGGATAAGGGAGGCTATTATATGAGTGATAAGGGTGGCTATAGGAGACATAAGGGTGGCTATTGTCAGGGATGATATGTGATGGTGTGGGGTTATTGTGTTGGTAATTTTTATGTAATGATGAGGGGTTATTGCGTTGGTAATTTTTATGTGATGTTGTGATTTTTTTTGTGTTTATTTTTATATCTTGTGCAACTTGTCTTGTTATTTCGGTAAACTTGATAATAGTCTGATCTATATTGAAATTGTGAGCATGTGGCTATTGCCAGGTGAATTATGTTATTGGTACGTGAACTGTCCGTGTAGATGTGATATGAAATGTGGGCACGAGGTGCCAGAAAAATATAATGATTATGTTATTAGCACGTGAACTGTCCGTGCAGATGTAATATAAAATGCGGGCACGAGATGCCGGGGAAAATATGATAATTTTTATTATTAGCATGTGAGTTGTCCGTGCGGTTTTGATAGAAATATGGGCACGGGGTGCCGTAAAAATATGAAAGTGGTTTGAGACCCGTGTTACGATAATATAAAAGTGGGCTGAGACCCGTGTTTTATGATTATGAAATGAGGTGTCACAGAGTGACTTTTATTTGAAAAAAGTATATTCGAAAGATATTTTTTATTTGAAAGAATTATATTCCAAAGATATTTATTTGAAAGAATTATATTCCAAAGATATTTATTTGAAAGAAATATATTCGGAAGGTATTTATTCAAAAGAATTATATGTGAAAGATTTATATTTGAAGGACTTGTTTAATTGGTTGTACTTATGTTCCTTATTCGTTTGAGTAATAATTATGGTGTTCTTGTTGTCTTGCTGTTTATATCACTGATTGATTTTTGTTGTTATCACTGCTAGTTATTTTTCAGTACTATTGTATACTGTTATATTGCACAGGTTATTTGACTAGTGAGTGTCTTGGCTGTACCTCGTCACTACTCCACCGAGGTTAGTCTTGATAATTACTGGGTACCGACTGTAGTGTACTCATACTACACTTCTGCACATTTTTGTACAGAGCCAGTTATTGGAGATATCGGACTCGGGAAGAGTTAGTATGTTGATCGCAAGGATTCAAGGTAGAGTTTCTTGGTCGTCACAGTCCCTTAGAGCCTTTCTATTTTATTGTACTGTCAACTCTTATTCAAACAATATTGTATATTAGATCTTTGAGATCATTACATGTATTCAGTTACAGTTCGTGACTCAGTATTACCAGTCTTGGGAGGTTGTTATAATTATTTCCATTGTTGGTTTTGACATTTGTATTAATTTATATGTTAAAAAAGATGGCTTGAAATGAAATTGAAATCGACTTACCTAGTCGTAGAGACTAAGTGCCATCACGATGCCTAAGGTGGAATTTTGGGTCGTGACAATATGATACTCCCTCCGTTTCAATTTATGTAAACCTGTTTAACTGGGCACAGAGTTTAAGAAAAAATGAAGACTTTTGAAATTTGTTGTCCTAAACAAATCAAAAAGGGGTCGAGAGTATTTGTGTGATTATAAAAGATTCTCATTAAGGGTAGAATTGTAAGTTTAAGCTAAATTGTTTCCAAATTTAGAAAGGGGTCATTCTTTTTGGAACGGACCAAAAAGAAAATAGGTTCACATAAACTGGAACGGAGGGAGTAGTATTTTAAGAAGCCTTGGGAAATGATTTGTAAAATGAGTAATTAATGATAAGGGTAAAATAGAATAAAAAATAGTTTTCTCTTGATTTTCTAAAATTGACAAGTAAAATTTAAAATATATTTTTAATATAATAGACAAATATAAGTGAACGGAGGAAGTATTTATTTAGAAGTGTATTATAATGAAAGACCTTTATATACCAAGGAAAAGATAGGGGACTCATTTAACATATTTGTTTTCTCTTTAAATTAACTGTTCGACTTATCTTTCCCAGGACAACACTTTACCTCAAGAACTTTGTTATTTAAATTCTACAAAAAGGTATGTGACGCTTTAACTTGGATTTATTTTGGTGATGTCTTTTCACGTGTATTTTTTTGCTTATACATTTGATTTTTAATTATTTTCTATGAATGTCCCATAATATATATTTACATTTAAATTTAAATTTTTATTTCTTCCGTATTTACTAAATTTTAAAAAATAAAGTTTAAGCCGCGCATAGCGCGGGCAAATTCACTAGTATCTTATAATCTTGTTTGGGCACATCATCAGTTGTGTGGCAAAGAGGCCAACGTTTTAGCTTGCAGTATGAACCTTCACATATTTAATGAATTATATATTATTACATCATTTGACTATGCATTTGGTTTATTTTATGTTTGTTTATACTGATACTCCATATTTTAGAATAATATCTAGTTCTAAAAAATAGTCTAAATATAACATATTCTTATATAAAAGGACCAAAAACATACATCTTAACAATTTGAAGTATTAAATATGCTCAACCATACATCACATATTTCCTCATGAGCTTCAAACTCTCATCTTGTAGTTCTCACCCTGATTTCCCTTTCTCCTCCATATGTAAAATTAAAAATAAAAATAAAAAGAAGTAACCAAAAACATTTGTATACGTAATGTGTGAAATGACTACCCTAACCAACGAACAAGACTCACATTTTTGCAGATAAAAAGTGGCACATGCATGAATACAAAAGAAGAATGGAACATTTTCGAGTATTTCACCACTTTAGTTGGGCAAATACGATAACAGAAAAGAAAAACTATACATAATACATATTTACGATAACCGAAAAATGCAGCAACTCCTTTATCAAGAATAAAATCAATTGGGCAGTCCTCTAGTTCACCTTTATATATCTTAAAATAAATAGTACTATATCTACTACTTACTTTCTACACATATTCAACAAAAAGTCATTCTCCCAAAAAAGAAAAAGAAATGGCTTGCATTGCTCCTTCAGAGTCGATGAATAATTGCGAGGCTGATCAGGCACTCACTAAAAATCTTCAACCAGTTATCAACTTTTCTTCCATATTGGAAGATGAAGAAACTGATCAATACACTGATAATGTGCATGAGAATTCTTATATTCTTGGGATCAAAGAGTATATAGCAAATAGTAGGAATCTTCACTTATCTAAAGTCATTTCCAGAGAGAAAAGAGCAGCTGTTTTGATATGCCTCTTTGAAGGCCTTGAAGGTGAACTTCGTGTAATTCTCACCAAAAGATCCATGAAACTTTCTACTCATCCAGGTAACATCTCTAATTTCTTTCTTGTTTTTTTGCCCGATGTCTGGTATCTGCATTGATACCCGATAAAATTAAATTCGAATTCGCGTGGAGAAGTCTCACCTTGGGGGTAAAGTACCCAACAAATGCGACTTCATACCCAGGGCTCGAACCCCAAACTTCTGGTTAAGGCAAAAAGAATATTTACTACCCCACCACAACCATGGTTTGTTCTCTAACTTTTGCTTCCCGTCAATTATAAATTTGCACTTTGATAAAAAAGAAATTGAGTACATTTTTTCCTTGGAATGAAAAGTATCGTATTCGAAAGTCAGTCTCATCTATAGCATGTGGCTTCAAATTAAAGTATCATTAGCACTTAAGTGGTTAATTAATTGAATCTTGGATTAGTTATTAAAAATTAAGCTAATCTTATTTTCGAATTTGCATAGATGGCCAAGTATGTATCTTTTTACCCTTTTTTTCTTGGACAGAAAATGTCTGCCAAATTCCAATTGTGTAAATTAATAATTTGTTTACAGATTGAACGTAGACATATTTGTGAAAATGTGCAATTTTATTTTGGATTTAGATTACATTCCCCGACAGTGTATATTGATTATAGTACATTATTTGCATTGCTTTCTATGTTACCAAATTAGAATTATTTTAAATAATTACACATGTTGTAGGTTACTTTAATCTTATGATGTAGGCAAATATAAAAGTTCAGGGCATAAAAGTTAAATTCTTTCTGTTTTAGGACATGGGAATGCAACACGAGAATATCCAACTTTTTCTGCCACTTTAAAATTATACTCAAAACAAACATACGAAGAAATTGACTCTTTATAATCAGAGGCGGATCCAAGATTTAGTTTATGAGTTTCTACACCAGCCTCAAGTTAATGCTACAGTAATAATTAGGTTCACGCTCGAGTATTTATAAATATTTAGTGAATTCCTTAATATGTATATATGTAATGTGTGTGTTTATATATATATATATAAAATATAGGGTTTGAGTAAAAATTACTAAGTTCACGTGAACTAGTAGTAACCGACCCTTTAGATCCGGTCACGTTTATAATATAATGTTTATTATGATGAAGGAGAGGTAGCCTTGCCTGGTGGAAAGATGGATGAAGAAGATTTAGATGATTCTGCTACTGCTCTGAGAGAAGCAACAGAGGAGATTGGTTTGAAATCCAGTCTTGTTCAAGTTATTACTAACCTTGAACCATTCATATCGTTGGTACTATAATTATTTGAAATATATATAATTTAATATCACTTCTTTATATACATAAATTGTAAACTAATTTCTCCTTTAAGGTAGATACTTGGTTACTGAAAAGCATTCATCATAAGTACAATTTTTATTATTGCAGCATCTACTTACAGTTGTACCAGTAGTGGGGCTATTGTCTAGAGTAGAAGAATTCAAGCCCTTACTTAATGCCGACGAAGTTGATGCTATTTTTGATGTACCCTTGGATATGTTTCTTAAGGTATTTATTATTGCAAGCTCTTTAATTTTAGAGTTTAAGTATTTATTTACTAACGATATAGTTAACCTCAACTTATTTGAAATTGAATCATTATAATTGTTGTTGCTGGTTATTTATAGAATAATTACAAATAAATCTATGCGAAAAACATTGATTGATAATTAACCTAATAAAAATAATAACTAATATATTCTTTTATCATATACAGGAAGAGAATCACAAATGTGTGGAAAAGGAGTGGGGAAGATTGAAATATGTATGTCACATATTTGAATATGAGTCGCCTAAGCAAGGAATTTTCCACATAGGGGGATTGACAGCAAGCATTTTGATTCATGCTGCATCTGTCATTTATCAAGAGCCTCCTTCTTTTTCTGAATATCTTCCTGATTTTAGTCAATTACAATTTACCCTGAACATGAAGAGCAGCTGCTAGTTTTGGGCGAAGACCGATTCAGAATTTAAGCTCTACATGTTCAACGGTTGGGTTCAGATGATCCTTGATATTCGTATGCTACATCTGCCTCTGACTTTGGGTGCACTGTTTTTTTTTTTTTTTTAATTTCTTCTGAAAAAACTTTTATAGATCATGAATAAGTCATCAACAGCAAAGTTGATGATGAGATTATGAACTTAGCTAAAAGAAGAAAGGATCACATGGTCCGAGGAGACAAAATCATTGGCCTCTATCTCTTTGTTATATATTAAACTTAGATTCTTGTCTTTTTATATATTTACCATGTTTACACAATGCAAAGAAAAAGAGTAAATAAATTATTCAAACGGTAATTGGAAATTGGAAAATTGTGTAAGTTCAACATATAAAAACAATGGATTTAACTTATATTTACTAAAGAAGTCTTATACTCTTAGTGTATTTAACCTAAGGCGGCTGGAGGGTGAGACAGCCAAAGCAAGGGCTTTAGACCCCCAAATTTTGGGCGCTATAACATAATTTTTTTTTTTTAAATATAAGTATTTTAAAGTAAAACAAATATAATTATTTTAATAAAAAAGAAAATAAATGATTTGTAATTGATGTTGATCGTTGAGATCTGAATGAGACCACTAAATGATAAAAATGTACAAAAATATCTTTGATTTTTTATTTATAGTAAAAATGAGACCACTAAATGATAAAAATGTACAAAAATATTGTCTTAATCTCGAGAATTCTTTAAAACATAATAGTCACTCTAATATGATGGTTTAACTTATTTTAGAATTAAAAATATTATAAATAGTACAAGTAGAAGATAATACTCTAATTAAAATACTCAATCAAATAAAAAGACTTGATTATTTTTTAAATGCCTATATTCGTTATACTATCAATTGAAAATGAATTATTAAAAAAACTAGATTATAAAAACGTATTACATAAGAGTTTTGCATCTCAAAAAGTTAAAATAACATACTTCAAATAAAACTATATAGAAAATTATTTTTTTAAAACTTAAGGCGTCTCATCAAGATTTTGCTTTAAGTTATTAATATTTAAGATTACTAATTCCACTTGTATGGTTATTTTTAGGTGACCTGAATATCAAAGTTAAACTCAAAAGAAATATCATTCAAATGCTCTTTCAGGTGGCAGTTTAGAAAATGTTTTGGCTCTTGTCAAACAAAAAAAAAAAGTGCTTTAATTGATTGCTTTGAATGACATGATTCCGAGTGCTAGTTATTATTATTATTTTTTTTATTTTGGTTAAATAAAATCATCTTGAAGAGTTTGATAGTTATAATTAATACTGATAATGAATTACGTAAGACTGCTTGCTCGAACGAGATGTATGACTGACATAATAGTTATCATTCAAATCTTAATCTAAGGAAGGAATGAGTTAATACTTATCAACATGTTCAGAGTCGGAAAATATCTGGAAACAGAAAATGAGGAATATTAAACGAGGTTTGAAACTACAGTAACTTTTTCACGACCCAAAATTCCAACATATCGTAATGGTGTCTATCTTGATACTAGGCAAGCCGATAACCTCAATAAACCACAATTTTTTTTAAGTTTGAAAAAATAATATTTAAATACAATACAAAATCTCATAAATACTAATACGAACACTCCCCAAAACCTGGTGTCACTGAGTACATGAACATCTAGTATGAATACAAGTCTGAAAAATACGGTGTATAATAGTCTAAGACCAAATACAGTAAACAATGAGATAGGGAAGGGGAGACAAGGTCTGCGAAACACGGCAGCTACATCTGAATCTCCGAAAAATCAACTGTGCGAGAGAATCAACACCCGTTATGTCCGGGAACACTTGGATCTGCACACGAAGTGCAGGGTATAGCATGAGTACAACCAACTCAGTAAGTAACAATAATAAATAAGGAATTGAAGATAGTGACGAGCTACACAGTTATAGTTTATTTTTAGTAATTCCAGCAAAGAATAGACATGCTTTCAAATCCAGCAGTTTAAGTCAAATCAATTCTATACAGTTCAAGTTCATGTATTCCGGATATAAAATCTTTCAGAAAGATTCACAACAATGACAGATAGCAACTAAGTGTAACAACAAATGAAAAGCAAGTACAACCTCTCAGGACAACAATCACTCACTGGGCTCCCAGCCCTCAATACTCACACTCAGTGGGTACCCGCGCTCACTAGGGGTGTACAGACTCCGGAGGGGCTCCTACAGCTCAAGCGCTATAATATGCAAGGACAACTCACGTGCTATAATATCCTGCACGGACAACTCACGTGCTATAGTATTCTTACCTCACCGACAAGCCCTCAGCCTTACTCAGTCCTCAACCTCCCCAGTCTCTCGGCTCTCGTAAATCAAAAAGATCAGCCCAAACAAAGATAACCTAGTGTATCAACATAAATCAAGAAAGACTGAGGTATGATACGTAAGTAAAATCATGATTGAGTATAAGATAGCATTTAGCAAATAATTCAACAAATACGCGACCTCTGCGGGTCCCCACAGTATTATCACATAGCCTAAGCATGATTTCTAACATGATTTACACTCAAATTTCTTCAATACATAGAGAGCATATAGCTAACAACAAGTTATTCAACCTTACAGTTCCACGGGACGAACCAAGTCACAAACCCCTCGGTGCACGCCCACATACCCGTAACCTAGCATGTGCGTCACCTCCAAAATAATCACATGATAAACAAATCTGGGGTTTCATACCCTCAAGACCAGATTTGAAACCCCAGATTTATAACTATTACTTACCTCAAGCCGTGAAATTCTTATTTTGCATGTCTTTTCCTCGTGAATTGGCCTCCAAACGCCACGAATCTAGCCATAAATAATTCGATTCAGTCAATAAAATTTATTGAAATTAATTCCATAAGAAAATACTAATTTTTCATAAAAATCCAAGAATTAGCTGAACAATCGCCCGTGGGACCCACATCTCTGAACCCGATAAAAGTTACAAAATATAAACACTCATTCAACCACGAGTCTAACCACACAAATTTTACTCAAATCCGACATCAACTCGACCCTCAAAGCTCCAAATTAAACCAAGAGAGTTTTCATAATTTTCCAACTTAATTCACCAATTAAATGTTAAAAACAACCATGGATTCGGGTAATTTAACCAATATAGAGTTAAGAACACTTATCCCGTTGTTTTCCTTAAAAAACTCCCGAAAATCGCCTCTTCCCGAGCTCCAGTCCGTCAAAAATGGAAAATAGGACGAATTCCCATTTTTAGAACTTAAACTCTCTGCCCAGTCATTTGCTCTACGTGATCGCGAACATTCCCACGCGATCGCGAAGAACAATTTTTCACTACCCAGATTTAACCCTACGCGATCGCAGACACATTCACGCGATCGCGAAGCACAAGCTTCCAGCTCTACGCGATCGCAACACTCTTCGCGCGTTCGCGAGTCACAAAATCCCTGAGCTACGCGATCGCATCCCTCTTCACGCGATCGCGTAGTACAAAACTCAGCAGCCCTCTAGTTAACCCTACGCGTTCGCGGATATCCCCACGCAATCACATAGAACAAAACTCCACTGCCCAACTAAGCCTACGCGATCGCGAAGAAGGTTTGAAACACTAGAAATCAGCAGCTACCAGCAGTGCAAAAATGAAGGAAAATAATCCGAATACCATCTGAAACACGCCCGAGTCCTTCGGGGCCTCAACCAAATATACCAACAAGTCCTAAAACATCATACGAAATTAGTCGAACCGTCAAATCACCTCAAACAACGCTAAAACCACAAACACATAGATTCAAGTTTAATGAATTTTGAAACTTTTCCATTTCTACTACCAACGCCGAAACATATCAAATCACGTCCGATTGACCTCAAATTTTGCACACAAGTCATAAATGACATAACGGACCTATTAAAATTTTTGGAATCGAATTTTGACCCCGATATCAAAAATTCAACCCCCCGGTCAAATTTCTCAAAAAATTTAATTTTCGTCATTTCAAGCCTAATTCCTCTACGGACCTCCAAATAATTTTTCGGACATACTCCTAAGTCCAAAATCATTATACAGAGCTATTGAAATCATAAAAATTCAGATCCGAGGTCGTTTACACATAAGTCCACATTCGGTCAACTTTTCTAACTTAAATTTTCAATTATGAGATTAAGTGTCTCGTTTCACTCCGAATTCCTTCCGGATCCGAACCAACTAACCTGGTAAGTCATAAAATAACTGTAAAATGTAAATTTAAAAGTAAATAAAAAAACAGGATTATAATACTTAAAACGACTGATTGGGTCGTTACAAACCTATTGCTTGAAAAACAATGTGTACAAGAGTTGGATTATTACAAACAAATTAAAGAGTGCATATTTAATCTTGTTCAAACAATAATGATGATTCGCCAAATTCAACCGAGCTTAGCATGTGCAACACGTATAAATGGAAAGAGGTGTAAATTGACAGTTCAAGATGACGGTGCATTCAATAGAAGTGAGTCTACTAGATCAATCAATTTCTTATGCTTGTCTTGTCATACGAAGGAACGCAATAATATAAATTATATTTAAGGACAACATGTGAATCCAACTAGTTATCTCTCACTCTATCTATCTATACTATATTAATTTTAGGTTACGCACCTTGAGGATGTACCTTATCTCAATAAATATAAAATTATAAAATTACATAAATATTATATTAAAATATCTGTTTGAGTTATAGAATTAAATCTAACAAATTATTAAATTATTATCGCAAAAGGTATTATTCAATCGCTATATTTTTTACGGAAAAGGGCCAAAAATGCCCCTAACGTGTTGAAAATGGCTCAAAAATACTCCTCGTTAATCTTTTGGGCTATAAATGTCGTAAAACTTGCATGGGGCGCCCTATTTGGTCGCCCCCTTTTAACTTATACCTGTTTTATTTTTCGTTTGCATCCGTACCCATTTTTTTGTTAAAAACGTTTTAAAAAGATAATTTTGCCCTTCAAGACTATTGACAAAACTGTAGACTGCAGGATAACACTTCAGCATGTTTTGGCATGAAATTTTAGCAAATGAACTAAATAACTTAAGCATATTTAGTCTGAAATTTTAGCAAATGAACTAAATAACTTCAGCATGCATTAGCAAAAACTCATTAGAAAATTACATATTGCAAGACAAAAACTTAAGCATGTTTAGTCTGAAATTTTTGCAAATGAACTAAATAACTTCAGCATGTTTAAACTGAAATTTTAACAAATGAACTAAATAACTTCAGC